CACAATCAAAATTTCAAGCTACCAATTTTAATTGCTATACACGTGTCAACCCAACTTCCCTAATGAATTATGTGCATGTGTATATTTTTTTCTTCAGTTTTTGGTTCAGACCAAGATTTGAACACATAAAGTCGATGGAGTGTAGCTATATGTATAATATTGGATCCTTTAATTACCTACAAAATCAAAGTGAACTTCAGTCTTTGAATACCTAGAAAGAAAAAGAGTGTCATATATAGGAATCGGATCTCATTCTCACCTAATTAATGTAAAGTAAGTGAATATATGACGTAAACATGAAAACATTGACAGGTAAGCAAAGGATAAGATCTTTTGGAAGAGAAACTGACCAATAACATAATAATACGTCTTGACCTTTAAGAGTATTTCCGATTGATATGTCAAAAATGTCACATAGACATTTAACGATTAGAAATAATATCTCACGTTACTCCAATTGAATTGTCAAAGTTGATGTAGAATGAGAGCTGGAGATTCAGCCGTTATTTTTGACATTTTAAAAGCAATATGTTAAATGAATATTTTATTATTTTTTAAAGACTTCTAAATGTTACTTTCATTTACTATTTTATTATTTATTTTGAATGATTTGATTGTTAATAATTGAATTTTTGTAAATGCACTTATATGGGTTGGAGATGAAGCCACGTGCCTTCATCTCAATCTGACTTTAAGTCACGCATTATTGGTACGGAACTTTGTGTCAGTGTGGAACCAGCTCACCTCACACGCAAGAGCTTTTGGTTCTCTTTTCTTGGTGTAGCTTAAATTCGTGAGGCCAAAATTGTTCGCGTATGCAGGAAGAATATCCAAAATTGTTCACACTAAATAGATTCGGGTTGAAATATGTAATTTGGATTGTAAACCAGCTAATGCAACTATCAAATCATTGTAATTTCTTAGGTAGGTAGGTAGGTACCTAAGCTATCATTATCATATGTACAAATTACAATTAATTTACTTAACATTAATTGATGACTTAATTTACCATTTTGTCCCCCTCAGAAAGAGAGAAATGATGCTGATCATGACATGGATGAGTAAACTTCTTTTTGCCTTTAACTTTGGCAAAAGGGTTGTAAGGAAAGTGTCATGGTTGTGTTCTGCTGTGAGCTTGTGAGAGTTGCTTTTGGACCTAATCAACTATACCTAACGCTATGGTCCCAAGGGTTTGAATAGTGTTTAACCACTTGTAATGGGCTGTTATATATAATCAAAAGTTTGTGTTTTCTTTCGTTTAATTTCTCTTTAAGGATTATTCATATCTGTCTCAAAGACATGCTCCTTTTACACTTCCATGAAATATGACAAGTTAAACAGATGGCTCTGTCGTTTAAGGTCTCCAGCTCCGTAGCTTCATTCGGAGCATCTCTATCTATAAGGGCTAAGTCTAGGGCAAGGGCAAGCAAGGACTGTCACTATTCATGTAAATAATGTCAGCCTTGCCATTTGTGGTTTCACTTATGATGGCTAAGTCTAAGGCAAATACTATTCATTTTACTTTATTATATATATATATTTTTTATTTAACCCATTAATTTTGATAAGTTTTTTAGATTATATTTTCGGTTGTCATGTGTCACTATCTATTATAAAATTCTCGCTTAAAATTTGAGATAACATTTGAGTCAAAATGACTCGACTCTGTTTTGGTTTTTGCACAAAGAAGAAAAGAAAGAAACAGAGAGAAATCAAAATCAAAATCGCCAAACGCAATTGTTTTTGGAGATGTCTCTGTTTCAGTTTGTGTTAGCTCCTGTGTTTCCTTGTTTCTTTCTCTTATAATTTCGGGGTTGAAGACTTTGAATCCATCATCCATGGCTTTTAGGGGGTAAAATTATTTTGCCTTGTCAGTTTTTTTCAATTTGTAATAAGAGAATTCAAGCAGTTGTGAAATTTGGAACATCAGAAACATGACTTTTTTTAATGTTGGTTTTAATCAGAATGCGTAATGAGGAGGAGATAATAAAGGAGGGTAGTTGAGTTGAGACTCTAGAGAAGAGAAGTAAGAAGGACCCAATTCTAAATGGAGAACTGCTCAGAGAGTCATAGGCATTGGATATGGGGGAGTTTGAGGGCCGTTTTGAAAGATGTGGAAGAGGTTGATTCTATTCAGCTTGTTCTAGGTGGTGGTAGAATACAAGAGAGGAGTCCATGTCTATGAATGCGTGCATGCAGCCAAGCCAAGAGAGCACCATCTCCAACCACTATTATAGTGTGCCACCATACCATTTAGAGCTCGGCTGGGATTATAGGTTTCTAATAAAGTTGATGTAGACAACTTTAATGTGTAGGTTTTGCTTTCTCAGTTTTAATTAGGTAGCAAAATATCTGAACAAGTGAGTAGTTAGCCCTGACCAAAAAAAAAAACAAATGTGAGTAGTTAGCTGGCTCTTCTATGCTACAGGGACGTGGGTGATTGTAAACAAGCTGATACATTTGATTTGATTTCGGGGGGTTAGCTGCATTGCATTGCGTTCGGGGTAAATTCAAAGGTTCCGTGACCGACACATAAAGAGACAGAGTTAACTTGTTGCAGTAACGTTAATGCTCTGTTTGGATGAAGGAATTGCAAATTACGTAGAATTCTAAAATGACGGAATTTAGATTTCCGTCATTTCAACTTCTGGTAATTGAAAATTTCAGTGTTTGTATTTATGTATGTCGAATTTTGTAAATGACAGAAATTCAAAATTTCAATGTTTGGATAGCTCATGTAAATTGTAAATGACAAAAATTAAATATTTCGATATCTTGGTCTTTCTTCTGCCGACACCATTACCGGAATGTGAGTTCCATCAAGTGCACCAAGACAATTTTAAACATGAAATATAAAATAGTATAAGTATGAAACTTAAGATAACTAGTTGAAAAATAAAATAAAAATCTTTTTTTCTTTTCTAGTTATATAAGTACCTCAAACCACTACCATTTGCTTCTTTCGGAACTCCCAACCTTTGCTGGAATTTTACGTATTCTTCACTAATTCTCATCATTACATATAAGACTCTGTTAAATTGCTGACTAATTGTTTCGATTGAATGGTAATAGTCAAAACCAATGACTCTGTATTTCAAGTTTTGAGCAATTCTTTTAAAAAATATTTCTACAAATTCTTCAATTGAAATATTTCTTGTTCAAACCAACCCACCATTTTCTTCTAAAATTCTACATCACTTTTTTAATGCATTTTGCTAATTCGGAATTGAACAATACAATCAACTTCTTTTCCATTTTACATACGGTTCAAATAAGATCACATTTCTTCTTCCCAATCATGTGAAGGCTCTTTAACATGAAAATTATCATAATACCATTTTATTATCGTAACCATAAAAGAGATCATTGTACAAACAATAATTGTGAAATGAATTTTGGCGTTGTTTTTCTTTTTTTTAATGAAAAGTTTGGCGTTGTTTTTTTAATGTAAGTTTTGACACTAGAAAATATAAATTCCGGCACTGTGGAAATTGTGAAATGACGCCTATTTTGATGGAAATTAAATTAGGGAATTTGATGTCTCAATTTCCCCGATTTTTCCCACACATCATTTTATATATAGAGTTTTTCAGTTAAGGAATCTCATCGACATTGTATTTTTATAATCCGATATATATCTGGAAGAAGTAGGGCCTTGTGAATTTCCGTGCACAATCAAAATTTCAAGCTACCAATTCCAATTGCTATACACGTGTCAACCCAACTTCCCTAATAAATTATGTGCATGTGTATATTCTTTTTCATCAGTTTTTGGTTCAGACCAAGATTTGAACACAAAGTCGATGGAGGCTATAGCTATATGTATAATATCGGATCCTTTAACTACCTACAAATCAAAGTGAACGTCAGTCTTTGAATACCTAGAAGGATGAGTGTCATATATAGGAATCACGATCTCACTCTCACCTAATTAAATAATTAATATATAGTAAGTGAATATATGACGTGAAACATGAAAACGTTGAGAGGTGAGCAAAGGTTTGGACCTTTAGCAGAGAAATTGTTGCTATTTTCGACCAATAACATAATAATACGTCTTGACATTTAATAATATCTTTAATCGATATATCAAAAGTGTCACATGAACATTTAACGGCTAAAAATAACATCTCACATTACTCCAATCAAATTGTCAAAACTACTGTAGAGTAGAATGAAGATTAGAGCTTCTGCAGTTTGTTGTGACATTTCAAAAACAATAAGTTAAATGAATATTTTATTAATTTTTAAATTCTTCTGACGGTGACTTTCATTTATTATTTTATTATTCATTTTGAATGTTTGACTTTTCTAAAGATTCGATGAACTTATATGGGTTGGAGGTGAAGCCACGTGCCTTCATCTCAATCGCGCATTACTGATACGGAATTTACTAATTTAGTGTGCCCAGATACGGGTTCATTGACGTTGTGCAACCACCTCACCTCACCTCACTGTAAATTTTACAGCTTCATAAGAATTGCGGCATACAAGAGCTTTTGGTTCTCTTTTCTTAGTGTAGTTTAAATTTCACATTTTTCACGTATGCAAGAAGAATTTCCAAAACTGTCCAGACGAAATAAATTCCGACTGAAATATGTAATTTGTATGTAAACCATATGTAATTTCTTAGGTAGGTAGCTGGCTACTCAAGCTTTCATGATCATATATACAAATTACAATTAATTTACTTGATATTAATTGATTACTTAATTTACCATTTTGTCCCCCCCAGAAAAAGATAAATGACAAACCTTAATTTACAATTAATATCAAGCACCTCCCATCTTCGATCACATCATTCTCCGTAATTAACAAACCTTCAAATACGTATCTACCATTCATTGATATATTAATAATAATAACTAAAAATTAAAAACTCGACCTAACCCCCCCAACAGAGCAAACACGTTCCAACCTACTAAACACCCCAACCCCCCCATCTCTCCCTATCTATATATTATCTCCAACACATACGATCTTGCAAACTCGAACATAAAATGTTTATTCTCATATTTATCACCGTCGTCTTCGCCACCTTTTTGTACCGTCTTCTGTTCTCCGGCAACCGCCACTTTCTCCCTCTCCCTCCAGGCCCAAAGCCGTGGCCTATTGTTGGGAACTTGCCTCATTTGGGGCCTGTACCTCACCACTCCCTCGCGGCCTTGGCCCGCCAGTATGGGCCTCTCATGCACCTCCGCCTCGGCTTCGTTGACGTCGTCGTCGCCGCCTCCGCCTCCGTGGCGTCCCAGTTCCTGAAGACCCACGACACCAACTTCTCCAGCCGGCCGCCCAACTCTGGCGCCAAGCATCTCGCTTATAACTACCACGATTTGGTGTTTGCGCCGTACGGTCCGCGCTGGCGGATGTTGCGGAAGATCAGCTCCGTCCATTTGTTCTCCGGCAAGGCTTTGGATGATCTTCGACATGTTCGCCAGGTCAGCAAATTTTGTCCTCATCGTGTTCAATGACTTGGTCTTGGTTTACGTTGTTTTTCTGCTTCATGATTAATACATGTATTATTATTAATTGAGGCACTAACTTAATGTGCTAGCTCTTCCTTAACGGACAGGTCACTCTTCTAAGTTCTAACCCCAAAAAAATTACAATTTTTCTTATATTTATGAGATTCAGTGGTATATTTATCTATTTATTTTAAAAAATGAACAGTGAATATGTTGCATGAGTTGAACTGACGGAAGAATTAATTGACAACAATAATTTTGTAACGCAGGAGGAGATAGCTGTGCTGGCGCATGGCTTAGCAGGTGCCGGGTCAAAGACAGTGAACTTGGCTCAGCTGCTAAATGTATGCACGGTCAACGCCCTAGGGCGGGTGATGGTGGGGAAGAGGCTGTTTGGTGACGGCAGCGGCAGCGGCGACGAGAAGGCGGACGAGTTCAAGGAGATGGTTGTGGAGATGATGGTGTTGGCAGGAGTGTTCAACATAGGTGACTTTATCCCCGCCCTCGAGTGGCTGGACTTGCAGGGCGTGGCGGCGAAGATGAAGAAGCTGCACAAGAGGTTTGATGCCTTCTTGACCGCCATTGTTGAAGAACACAAAAAGAGCAGCGGGGGGAAGCACGGGGACATGTTGACTACTTTGCTCTCGCTCAAAGAGGATGCTGACGGTGAGGGGGCCAAGCTCACAGACACTGAGATTAAAGCTTTGCTTTTGGTACACACACACTCTCTCTCTCTCTCTCTCTCCCTCTTTCTTTTTTTAATATTTCATTACTTTTATTTGTGATTTAAAAAAGGGAATAATATCTTACTCTAGTCGATAAAATTACTAAGTCAATTGGGTTTCGTTATTATATTAATAGGAAAGGTAATTTATATGATGCAATTGCCTAAACAGGTTGGATGCATTTTTATTTTTACAAATTTATAAATAAACTCAATTCTAGACATGTATTTATAAAAAAATCAAAGTACTATTTAAACATAAAAACACACCCAAAATTAACCCCAAAGTCAACTTTTTGGGTGTGTTTATAAATGAGTTTTGAGTGTGTGTAATGATGGGTTTTGAGTGTGTTTATATGTTTAAATAATACTTGAGTTTTTTTATAATTTCAACCCCCATTTTAAGTGTTTTAGTGAAACTCCTCTTTATTTTTTCTTAATTTCAGCTGATAAGTCTCTCTAGTTGCCTCCATTATTAACTATTGTCTTCTTGTGGTGCTTGCGTCTCCAGACCGAAACATGGCCTCACCTCAGCTCAGCTCACCTCACGGGAAATAACGAATATAATATTATTATTGTGGGTGGAGGTGTGTGGGCCTTTTACCGTCATATCAATCCGACAATAATTATGATTATTGTTATTGTGGGTGGGGTTGTGGGGGCCTGTTACTGTCAAATGAAGCAGACAATCAATTAGACAGAAATTATTAAACATAGACCTCGAGCAAGGCCCACCTACGAAAGATATAGTATAAAAAAAACAAGCAGCTCCTTAGTGCTAAGCTAAAGCCGCCGCATACATTACATATATATATATATATATATCTACATAGTACCACAGTACATTCCCTCACTTTGTATTCATTTCATTCAAATCCCTAACCACAATGTTGGAGGAATTCTTCCTGCATCACTTTCGTTCTTTGTTGGATCGATTTTGGATTGATAATGTGTTACTAAACTTTGTTATTGACATGTTATCAACAATGATATACGTTATCGATATTGCATTGACGTTTGTCCTTTGATAGGGATTTTTCCCTTATTTTATTTATGGCATGCTAATTGTCTGCCTTTTTGCTAATGTAATTGACTTTTAATATAATCCATCCATACAGAATATGTTCACAGCCGGTACTGACACGTCATCAAGCACAGTGGAATGGGCTATAGCAGAACTCCTTCGCCACCCCAATATTCTGGCCCAAGTCCAACAAGAACTTGACCAAGTTGTGGGCCGAGACCGGCTTGTAACTGAACTGGACATACCCAACTTGACCTACCTCCAGGCCGTGATCAAGGAAACCTTCCGGCTCCACCCATCCACCCCTCTTTCGTTGCCTCGCATGGCATCCGAAAGTTGCGAAATTAACAGCTTCCACATCCCAAAGGGCGCCACTCTCCTAGTCAATGTATGGGCCATATCACGTGACCCAGAGCAATGGAAGGACCCACTTGTGTTCCGGCCCGAAAGGTTCCTACCGGGAGGGGAGAAGCCCCATGTGGATGTTAGGGGGAATGATTTTGAAGTGATCCCATTTGGTGCTGGGCGCAGAATATGTGCTGGGATGAGCCTGGGCTTGCGTATGGTCCATCTAATGGCTGCAACCCTGGTCCATGCATTTGACTGGACCTTGGCTGATGGGCTAACCCCAGAGAAATTGAACATGGACGAAGCATATGGGCTCACTTTACAACGAGCCGCACCTCTAATGGTGCACCCACGCACAAGGCTAGCCCCTCATGCATACAAAGCATCATCATCTTGATTCTTGAGATAGAATTTGAGGTTTTGATGCCAATTTTATGGTAAATTTGGTGCCTCCTAGCTGCTACTATTTCTGTTCCAAGTTTAGTTTTTATGTTCAGTTAACTAGAACAGTGGTTCTATCTGAATATCCTATCAACAAAAGTGGTTAGCTATCTGTCCTTTTAATGAAAAGGTGCTAGCTATCTGTCCTTTTTTTAATGAAAAGGTGCTTGTAAGTTGTATCGAATCGAAACCCATCAAATATGCTCCTCGCTCGTATAAACTATTTTATTCAATTTATCCCAAAATCTCATACAATCTCATATATTAATATGATTTGAAATCATTGTCTATATCTTCTTAATGAATTCGAGTAAATGTTGAATTAAAATTGAAGGCTATACTTTTGATCAAACATACTTAAGTGAATTCATTGATTTTTTTAAAAAAATTCCTTCACTTTTTATTTACTTACAAGTAAATAAAAAGATTAGTCAGTTATGATTTATTTAATTCGTAAAGGATGGTTCAAATAATATATTTTTAAATAGGCTCCATTTATGATTTTCTATCCTAAACTCTCAACTTAAAAGTTAAAATTATCGCCATCGTGATTTTAAAATAGGCCACATTTATGTCCACTGCATTGCTTGTGGTCAGAAGAGTAAGCACCATTAACATTCTGTTTATCTAAATTAAATTGTTTCTGGTAGGTTGACTGCCATTTCACTTGCAAATAAGCAAGTGATCTCCATGGAGGTAAAGGCATCGAGTTCTATCCTCCTTCAAAGAGACCAATTTTTGTTTTTCTTTATTTTTTTAATATAGCAATGAAAGTTTAATAAACATATCATCTGCGATTCTCAATTGATTCCGTTTAATCAAGTTTTATTTATAGGCATAGAGAATATTCACAATCTATAATCTCATGTCATTAACCTCTTATAGGACATCAAAATAATTATTCATTTCCTTATTATGACGAGCTTCTATACTTGCACAATATGTTTTACATTAAAGTATTTTCATCAAATACCTTACAAAGGCATGTGGCATGTGTCAAATACAAATTCTAAGATCTAAAAATTGTAATCAACTAGATATATGTGTATATGTAGTTGCAATCTGCTGGAGGTACTGACACATAGGCAGTGCCATCGGGGTACTGGGAAGCCAACTCACCGACATAGGCAGTCTTCTTAGTGATCATATCATCCTATAGATATATATAAAATTTGCATCCATGATTTTACATGCTCAAGGCTCACATTCCATTTTGGACCATGTCAGTAAAAGAGCACATTTGCACTGAGTCCTCTTAAAAATAAACACATAAATATAAAATTTGCGTTAAATATACGCAGGGAAAGCAAATGTGAAGTTGATGAATCAAATATACAAAGGAACGAACAAGCCATCTCTTCCTTTTCTTAGCAATCCATCTCATTATTTTTTAACACAAAACTAACCAAACTATACAGCAAACTATACAGCAAAGGGCAAGACAACTATTTTCACATGCCAAACCAATGACGACCCGAACAATATCACAATATTCATTGTTCACATTAATATGTTGCATTACTCAAACAAAATATATTCAAACCAGCCATTATTTATCCCTAGATTTTAAAATATAAGGCTCAATTTTATCACCTATCTTTAAAAATCGGATCTCCATCAGCGACTATTTATTCCTAACATGCTTTACTCACCAAGGTAGGTTAATTGAGCAAGAAACACATAACTAGAACCAAACTAGAGGGTTGGGGACGAAAATTGACACTAATTTTTCTCAATAAACTCATAAGCAGCTAATAATTTTTCTCTAACCTCTCTAATAATAGCAACTTAATCTCTCTAATTATATAATTTTCAATTTTTTGTTATTTAAAATTTGTTTTACGTTATATATATATATATTAGTTGGGATGAGCCTGGGCTTGCGTATGGTCCATCTAATGGCTGCAACCCTGGTCCATGCATTTGACTGGACCTTGGCTGATGGGCTAACCCCGGATAAATTGAATATGGACGATGCATATGGGCTCACCCTACATCTTGATTTTTGAGAGAGAATTTGAGGTTTTGATGCCAATTTTATGGTAAATTTGGTGCCTTCTAGCTCCTACTATTTCTGTTCCAAGTTTAGTTTGCACGTTTAGTCAACTAGAATAGTGGTTCTATCTGAATATCCTATCAACAAAAGTGGTTAGCTATCCATCCTTCTAATGAAAAGGTGCTTGTAAGTTGTATCGAATTGAAATTCATCAAATATGCTCCTCGCTCGCATCAACTATCTTACTCAATTTATCCCAAAATCTCATACAATCTCATATATATTAATGTGAATTGAAATCATTGTCTATATCTTGTTAATGAATTCGAGTAAATGTTGAATTAAGATTGGAGGGCATACTTTTGATCAAATATATTTTAAGTGAATTAATTCATTTTTCTAAAAAATTTCCTTCACTTTTTATTTACTTATAAGTAAATAAAAAAAAGAAAGATTTTCTATCCTAAACTCTCCAACTTAAAATTATTGCCATCATGATTTTAAAATAGGCTCCATTTTAAAATAGACATCATTAACATTTTGTATAAATTAAACTGTCTCTGGTAGGGTAACTGTCATTTCGCTTGCAAATAAGAAGGTGATCTCCATAGAAGGGCATCAAGTTCTGTCCTGCTTTGGAGAGACCAAAGTTTTTATTTTCTTTCTTTATTTTTATTTTTATATAGAGACGAAAGTTTTATAGATATCTCATATGCAATTCTCAATTTGATTCCATTTAATTAAGCTTTTTTTGTTTTTGTTTTTTGTTTTATTTAAGACGGAGAATTAATATATTCTCAATTTATAATCTCATGTCATTAACCTCTTATAGGACATCTAAATAATTCTTTATTGGGAGTTTCACTAAAACACCCAAAATGGGGGTTGAAATTATAAAAAAACCCAAGCACTATTTAAACATATAAACACACCCAAAACCCATCATTACACACACTCAAAACCCATTTATAAACACACCCAAAAAGTTGACTTTGGGGTTGATTTTGGGTGTGTTTCTATGTTTAAATAGTGCTTGGGTTTTTTTATAAATACATGTCTAGGATTGAGTTTATTTATAAATTTGTATTCTTTATTTCCTTATTTTGGCGAGTTTCTATATTTGCACAACATGTTTTTTACATTAACATATTTTCATCAAACACCTTACAAAGGCATGTGTTAGACAGTTGTACTCTATAGAGAGATTAAGTGAAGCACGATGAAGGGAAAAAAAAGCCCAATCACAGTGGTCGCTTGAAACATTCTCTTGAATAATGAATATAATTCGAGAAAAAAGACGAGATGGACAAATTGTGATTATCCCAATTAAGAATGGAAAACAAAATACAGAACTTATACTAAACTAATTTATTGTTGTAATTTTTTTTTTTTTTTTTTTTTTTTTTTTGTTAAACGATACGTCTAAACTAAACATGGGAGGGGTATTTCTCTCTCTCTCTCTCTCTCTCTCTCTCTCTCTCTCTATATATATATATATATATCTCTCTCTCTCTCTCTCTCACACACACACACACACACACACTAACACACACAACTATGATGCCGAGTTGAACATGAGACCTCTAGTATGCAAGGCAATACCCTTTTTCACTAGGCTAGACCCTGTTAGCTTTCATGTGACATGCTTAATCACAACTGAAAATGAAAAATGAAACAACTATAAGGCCCGTTTGGTATCCTACTTAAAAACTTGAACTAAAAAACAATTATTATTTTTTAAAAACATAAGTGTCAAATATTAATTCTATGATCAACTAGATATATGTAGTTGCAATCTGCTGGAGGTACTGCCAATAGTAGTAACCTTAAGGTTAGATTTCATGCAGCTTGCCCTTGTGAAGAACCCGAACCAACATTACGAAACGTACCATATCCCAAACCTTGGATCTCTCGTCCACGCTTAACTCTTAACATGTCTATCACAATATTGCACCTAGCTTCCTCGGGAATGGGTATATCCTCAACTGGAGTGCCCTTAAGTTAGGGTTATATACTGTAAACGTCCTTGAACTTGGCCCCTAGTTGCAATTGGGTTCGTGAACTTTTTTTCATGTCAATTACATCATTTAACTGGACAAATATTTGCAATTAGGTCATACCATCCAACTCTATCAATTTGTCCGTTAAAATGAAGGGTAAAAGCGTCCTTTCGAGTAGTCTTCTTCAAGTTTGAAGACTCTCCCTCGCTTCATAACCCCTTAGTATTAGAAATCCTAAAAATGAAGAACTGAATAACTGAAAGGGGTCAGGTGAGTCATAATACATACTGACAGGCTGGGCAGTAGCTAAAACGGCGTCGTTACACTACAAGCATTCCATAGTGAACGGTCGTCACAGGCGGGTCAGAATACCTGTTACCTGTTGCCTCGGTATTTTCTGACTGACCTACGAACTGGGTCACCGATCCGACGGCGACACCATCCAGTGGCTCATCTCCCTGGTCTGACCCAAGCTCGTCCTCCCTCCATAACCTAACAACAGGACCCGTCGGCTTCCACTCGACCCAATTTCGCAACCTAATTGCAGATACCCGGGTGCAGCAGAAGATGGGTTTGATCACAAGGCAGTGGCTAGTCTTCCGAGCGTCACTGTGAGGGCTATTGTGGTTCTAGCATCCACTGTGTTTTTCGACACTCTAGCGACTCTAGGTAGCCACTGTGCCTAACTCTCTCAAATGGGTTGCTGTTGTTTTCATATTTGGGGTCTTGTAGAGGTTTATGGGGTTTATGGGATGGTTAAGATCTTTGTTTTCTTTATATTCTTTGATTTGGTTAAGTGGGACTAGGATTTGTGGGTCAAAATATGTTCTTTTTGTATTAAGATTGGGAGATTAAGGGCCCACCACCCTCCTCCTTCCTTAAGATTGTGGACCGGAGGTTTTTTTATGTATTCTGGGACCGTGTCCTTCTAGGCCATTGCAAGTTCATATTATATTTTTT